CAATATAAGCAAAACTTGCTGAACTTCAGACATCATTTTCTCTTTGGCGTACCATCTAAAATCTCTTCATTTTAACATTATTTTACAGATAAAGCACTAAACATACTTTTTAAGTTTGTTTCTCGCTTGAGAAACGTATGAAAAATTAAAAAAAATATTGAATATAGGCATACAGTAACCAAGTGGAAAAATATATTAATTAGTTTTGAGCGCGTGTTACGTAACATATTTCAATTTCTTAGTTACTTCGTTCCAGCAAAGCCTCTCCCCCCCCCCCTCTATATTTAATCATCCATCAATAAGACCCCTCGTGTAATATGCATTATTGTAATTTGTTATCGCAATGTCTCCTATGTTGATTGTGGATGATTCTTTTACTTTGTGTTTAGAACTTCTATCCCTGGACCGTCACCAATTGGCCCTGTCGCATCAGTAACGTCAAATTTTAATGTTCCAAAAGTCATATCTCATGTTGGTCCAACCCCTGGACTAGGTAGGGTATTGTTATGCAAACTGTGCATTATGCCCCGTATAGACGTTTTATTTGTTCGTGTGTACGGCAGAAGATTGACAGTTTTCCCTTGCATGCTAAGGAGTCTTATTCCAAAGCCAGTCAAAGGAAAATTTGTTCGTGTGCACGGGAAATACATACAAGAAATACTTATGTTTTTCGCGAACAAAAGGCGGTCTTGACGTGAGATAAATTAGTCGAACGTTTAGCAACATTCCGTGCACACGAGCAACAAAAATTGTCAAGGAAAACTTGTTGACCGTATACACACAAGAAGATGTCAAGTAAAATGTACTCATCTGTGTGGGGTTTTGGCTCCCTAGATTTTATAGAAATGTTGAAAATGCATAATTTAGATCAACTCTTTGAAGAGATGTTGTTTGCTAGAAATAAAAAAGTGTACACCATATATACAGCGACAATCAAACAATTGGTCACATAGGTGACGTCACCACTGTTGCTATGACAACAATGACGATTCAAGATGGCCGATATTTTGGCTTAAAAAATTAACACTTTACTTAAAAAGACGCCTGGTTACCCCCATTTTTTATTTCAGAAAACATTTTCTTGTAGTACAAGAGCCACCTTAATTACAATTTCAGCCAGTTTTGTCTGAGCATAAGACAATGAACTTGCTACCAAGAAGCATTTCTCGTTTTTAGGTCCACTATATTCGCAGCCTTCGCCTGTATCGTTTGCTACGAGGCCTCCTCAGGTATTAAACTAGTTATAGTCTTCAAAATACTCGTTACTAAAGTAACGCGTTACTAATTACTTTTTGAGTATTTTTTTCGTTAATTACTTGTTGTACGAAAGTAATTTTGTAACATAAGGTAACGAGTAACATTTTCTAGAAAGTAATTTGCGTTACTTCTATGTGCTTTCTCCGACCTTACCATATCAATACCTTTTCACAGAAGGAAAAGCATTGAAATTGAGTGTCTGGCATAGAGGGTTAACTAGTTTTGCGATTGCACAGAAATTGTCCTACTCAAATTAAGTAACAAATTCATCGCATACCAGTTGAATTATACGACTTGTTTTGTACCTAAGAAAACAGTAATCTGACATGTAATTAGCAACCAATTACACGTAATTTTCAAACAATGAATTATTATATTGACTCAAAAGTATCCCACAATGCAAAAGAACTCTGTTTTAAAAATTGCGTGACATAAGCACTTCTAAGGATTTTGAATGTAAGATTTAAAAAAAAAACTCTTTATGGGACTCCCTTTGCCAGTTTCTATATCTACAGTATTTTCCTTTCTTTCTGCAATACAAACCATACCCGACTTCTAAAGCCAAACTGTACGTGTCTCGGTCTAAAACTATTGTACACCCCTTTCTTTAGTTACAGGACCATACCCGACTTCTAAAGCCAAGCAATATCGTATCATCTGTATCGTTCGGAGGTCATACAGGAACACTGCCTGCCACTGTTGTCTCCGCTCCAGCAGGTTTGCAAACTTTTAACATGATACATGGAAAGCTACCTAAAATTATTTCATGTCCTTCGATATGTGAATTAAAACATATAGGGTGGACTTGATTCAAGTCCACCTCAGGAGAAAAGTAGGGAGAGACGGACTTGGGACATTTGCAGCATTTCGAATGTTACTTGCAAAAATTGCCGCGAAAATTTGTTGTTTTCAACTCGCAAGCCACGCCTCCTTGTGAAAAATCCGACGGTAAATTTTGGCGCGATTGCGTCCAAGTTCGTCTCTCCCTACTTTTCTATCATATTTTCGTGCCTTTTTTTCACCACTCGTGTGCATTCATACAACCTCTTGAGAGGACTTGAACCAAGTCTACATCTAGGTTGAAGATTGTGCCCAATGTGCATTGTAAGCTTGACTATGTTAGCAACAACGTTTTTATATTTGAAAGGACAATCACGAGTAAAGCTTGCAGCCTTCACTATAGGTGCATGACTTTCTTCAGGCTGCAGTTCAGTGCACACGGAGGGCATTTAGAAAAGGAATCTACCTCATTAGAATCTGATTGTTTGCCCTATATCTGCATGTGTGTTAAAGTTACGGGGCACGCTGGTCAAAGTTAGTGAAATTTCTCACACTCGTGCGGGCTCGTATTGTCTGTGGACATCTTACACAAAATGGCTAGTTCAGTTTCACCGCGAGTCTGCTGCAAAATGCGAGCCAGCGGGGCACTGGGAGAAAATTTGCTGAATATGGCCGGCGTGTGGGGGATTGCTTGAAACCCAACTATATGCACATTTCGCCCAACCTACTCGTATCTATTTTTTATTTAATATATAGTGGGACCAAACGCAAGATTAGATGGTAGCAGGTAAATAAGTATTGTATCGTAGAATTGTTTTGTGGAACACAGGTCTTCTATGTTCATCTTCAATTTTAAAACTTAGGTTGTAATATAGCTTTCTTTTTGTTCAGACCAATTCCAGTGTCATTTTCGCGAATGCCAACATACTTCGACGGCCATACAGGTACGTGTTTGTATATATATATATATATAATTTCGCTTACCTCAAAATTCCGCAACAGTCTGTTTCATCAGTAAAGAATCATCAGGCGGTATCTGATGAAACAGACTGTTGCGGAATATATATATATATATATATATATATATATATATATATATATATATATATATATATATATATATATATATATATATATATATATATATATATATATATATAAGAAAATAGATTTTTGCTTATCGAGATCATGTATATATCTCAATTGCAGTTTCGTCTCTACAACCCCCAATCAAGTCGTATGCTCCGATTGAATCTGTTGTCCGTAAACCAACGACCATTGCTCAAGTACCAGCTAGTCATGTGACAACTGGTATTAATTCAGTACAACTAATGACGTCACATAATCCTACTGCGTCAGTTGCTGTTGTTAACATGGGTAAGTATATATCATCTTTATTTACAATAATCTCTTTAGTATGGAAACTTATTTACAGGACGGGTGTACTTCCTAACTACTACAAAGTATACATTACCAGGGATTTATACAAGCACTTTCCCACTACCGGTATACGGCAGTCAAAGTTAACAAGAAGAACGAAACCATTACCATAGCTGGAAAGAGCATCTTAAAATAAGTAAAATTGCAAAGTTTGGTTGCGAATTGTTGTAAAATGCGGAAAATATAGCCCTGTGCAGTTCGCACATTTGTTATATATTTGCATTACGCGCGAGAAAAATAACCATTTTTGAGCCGAAAGTGGAGACAAAACCCCACATCAGACCTTTTAAGTTCTAACACTACAGTATTTCCTATGCTTTTAGGTGTTCCATTTACGAACTCTGAAGCAAGCAATGAAAATACAGCAATTTATAACAATTCATCACACTCGAACTCGGGCAGTATTTTTAGTGTTCAGAATATGTTGTCGACAACGCCTTCGTCTGCTCAAAATATTCCGTCATCTACCACTTCATTATCACCGAGACCCAGTATTCTAAGGAAAAGACAAGAAATGTAAGTTTTATCTACATGTATATGTTGTCTGGTAATGTCTTCATTTAATTTTTGGGCATCTCACTCGATTTAACTAACGTTGAAGGATTGCATGTGGCAATGAATTAGCCTTTCTCACGCCGCCATTTTTGGGGCGGCAACCTTTTTAGAACAGGGATAGGAAGCAGTGAAAAGTGAAACTTTCTATAACTATAGTTGTAAATATAATATTATAAATCGATTTGCGGTTAAATATTTGAAAACTTATTTTTACATCGCTTAGATTTTTCACGTTGTTTATAAAATGGTAGTACCCAAAAATGGTGGATTTAGATTTTTCTGAGAAAAGCTATTTTGCTTCTGCATAATTTAGCAAAGTTTAGTTATGTTCTGGAGTGGGCATAGGCCAAATAATAGTGTCATAGTGATGTAAACCAACACAACATTTCTAAGAACGCAGTAATACATTTTATCATTAATATGTTATAGTACGGTATTTGCACATGACGTCACAGCCGCCATGTTGGTGTTCCAATTGAAAAGAATTTGAATTGGACTCTTTTGTCTGGAACACCAACATGGCCGCCATGTCTTTCGTTGAGTTGGTCCCTGGGGAATGAGTGCAAACGCTGTATTATACCTATATACAAAAATCATGGAGCTTTCTCGTTTGTTTGTCATTCCCGAGTGGAATGGAAAATTTCATCTGTCACCGAATGAAAATATTCTTACGATTGCTACCATTGCTAAAAACAGTATCTTCCGCTATAAAAAGTGCTTTTCTTCGCTTAATCTCAGAAAATGGTCAAATACAGTACGAGCACACGCTGTGTATGAAAAAATTTTAGTTCCAGTGGCGGACATTTTGCGAAATATTGCATGAGGTGGGGAATTTAATTTCATGCAAATATGCATATTTTTTAACTTACCAATTGAACATTTTCATGGTTGTGAAATTAGACTGATTTTGAAAACACGACGCGAACTGAAAGACGCGCCTTCGAAAAAAAAAATTCTTCATGCAAAACAAAAAGTTTGAATAATTTGTGGTCCCAGGGGTATATTCAACAACTATGAAAAGAACACGTCATTGGAGCAACGTGAATGCTTGTTGCGACGTTGGAGGAGTTACATAAGATCTTCCTCATAGCAGACACTGGAGAAGTGGTGTTTACAATATATTGTACTTCATTCCACATTATCCTGTATTGACGCAGCTAGGATTTATATTCTCAGTTAAGCAATCGTCTGTCGAGAAAATTGGGACTCCGTCGCTTTGTGGCCCCCATTTGAGTTGAGGGCCCGGGGCAGCTTTGTTACACAGCCACCGCCAGTGTATAGTTACAGTATCTTGCTCGCGTGTCGACGCTAAACGTTGCACGAAGCGAATAGGTCTGTTCACCTGGTAACTGATATCAAATTGAGGCTTTTCTACCTTTCTATCTTTTATCACTGTATGAAATAAAGTTAAGGCAAAATCTGTATTACATTTTAATGTTTTTTGTTGTTGTTTTTTCTTTTTGCTGATGTTACTCTGAGTGTCTTCACGGCCGGGCAAACTGAAAAAATAGAGACCTTCGATTTAGGACGGCAACGCCGGCTACCAATATGTACAATAAATCATTAAAAAGAATTGAATAATTACAATATATGAATAATTTAGACATTGTCCTTCGCTTTGTTTACAACGCCAAATCACAGATTTTCACGTCTTGATACAACGGCTGCATTTCAAGCCGCAACCGATTGCAACTTCAAAGTTCAAACTGGATTCAGCAGAACTCTTCCCGACCATAAAACCCATGTCTTCAACTTCTAAGACTGTATTAAATTCATACGATTGATAATATACGATGAATTATTTTTACTATCATTTATTTGAAGGAGTTTGTTTTGGCCGTCGTCGTCGCGTTGCCTTCATAAAATCGTAAGGTCTCTAATTGCTTGACTGCTGTGGGAATCGAACCCACGACTTTTGGCTTGTTATATAATCCAACTCACAACCAACTGAGCTGCAAGATCAAGCGAGTTCAACACCACGACCACCATACATTTTAATGATTTGTTTTAACCTTGCAGATCAAGAAAACCTGTAAGCCAGCCATCGTTAGGAGATCCTATGGTCTTAGTTCCTGCAAATGATATTTCTGGTAGTCCACGACCAGACGGAACTTTATCCGCCTCACATTCTAGACAGAACTCTCCGAAAAGGTAGGTACAGTATTATACAGCTACGATTCGATATAGTATTTAAAAGTATGTACTCGATAATATGGCAATGAATTGTTTGAACACAAAGCATTTGCTGTGAACGGTCGGCAATAGGCTATTTGCCGAACAAAAACGCTAAATGGCCGATTAATTTTATTCTGCACCGTCATTTTGACCGATCAAATAAATTAAAAGTATATTATAATAACTTTGGCGGGCATTGTGGCCTATTTGCGGGCTAAAATGAACATATTAGCGGGCTAAAACACAAAATGGCTGTAAAAATACAAAAAGAGAAGATATATCTATAGGAGATATAGCGTGAAGACTGTATTGCAGTTATGCTACTACAGTGTATTTGCCGTTTATTTGTTGTCTTTTATACTATAATCGCCCTCTAAAGTTATTGTAAGTAATACAGTTGATGATTTTGGGCATACATATGTGTGTTTTTGGCCCTTCTCATGCAGAACTCATTTTAACCCTCGTTATACGCTCGGGCTAAAATGTGTCTGAGTCAAAACATATTTGTGCCCGCGAACATCAACTCTATTGTTATATTTGAGTAGTATACTGTTCAAAACGCATAACAACAAGAGAAGGAACCAGAAACTGATCAGAAAGTGATCAGCTCATGCAAGCTGTGAATGTGAATCCATGTTATATTGAAAACCTGGCCGACCATTATCCGAGCGACTGTACAGTTGGTCAGATATTCTTCAGATCCAAGCGAAATTGTTATAATCCACACTGTGGAAGTGTATACCGAATTGAACTTTTTTATTCACCATAATAATTTTCCAACCACCTTGTTGCTGCACGTTTGACTTCTCAAACCTTTCTTATCACAATCACTCAAATTAAAATATATAATGCTTTCATGGTTGAAAAAACTTTGTCACAACTTCTGAGTGTCTTTTTTAATCGGCAATCTGTCGGAGACCTCTGGAAAATATTGGGTCCCCAGGGGGCTTTGCACCATAATTTCGCCACTGATTGTATTATACTTAGTATAAAGTAATAAGAATTATTTGGTTATTTGCTAATTTTGTCATATTTACACCCTGCTTGAACAACACAACATGCTCAGTGCAACGTTTTTGTGGTTGGCAATAAGCTGTTATTAGTTGGACCAAAGATTGTAAGCAGGAAGAAGCAGTCGCAAAAAAATTGTTTACAAATACAACAGTACACAAAAAAGTGCTTGTTGTTGAAGAAGTGTTCATCCCCCCTCCTCGATCGCTTTAAAATTAATGTAACAGAAATTTTATATTTCACATAATACAGTGAAAGTTCCATTCAAAGCTTGGAACAACCTCAAAAGACTTTAGAGAACGGGCCAAGTCATCCATCAATATTGTCTCCATCTAAAATTAAACGAGAATTTTTATCACCCTCGTCAACACCTCCGATGCCAGTGCCTGCTGTCAATACCGTGTCCTTGTCGGCGGTTCCTCCCCATGATGCAGGCGCGTCACCAAGGAAGAAACCACGGAAACAGAATGTGTAAGTGAAATTGCACCGACTCTAGTTATTGTGATGAATGTCTTACTGTGTTATTTTCAATTTATTTACTCCGTTCCACTATTATCAGTAATTTAGGTGAATTCACAGAATAGGCCTTTTGCAACTGACCTAATAGCACTTTGCAAAATAAAGCAATATCGGGACTTTTGCTTACAAACCCCACAGCTCCCCGTGCTCTCCAGTCACTTATTGTCAGGGCCACCGAGAGGTTGCGAGAGGCCGCCGAGAGTTGGCCTGGGGCAAAACTACGACGGTGTTTTACAATATATTACACTTTATTGCATATTATCCAGCACAAACGCAGCTCGGATTTATGTTCTTAGTTATTGGCGTGATCTTATTATAACTGTACTAACACTAGTGGTGAAGTTAATTTCTCTGTCTTTCTCTTGATAGTATCGCAACTGAAGATAAGTTCAGCAGTGCTCCACTGCAGGTGCAGGAAGTAAACGAGAAGAAGAGTATTGTCAATGATAAACTTGACCAAGAAGATGGTTAGTGGCATAGACGTCAAGTTTTGAAAGTAAAATATATTTCAATGAAAGTAAAGAAGAATTTCATATCTATGGTAGTCTAGGTTTATGCAGACCTTGCCCTGATGAAAACAAACGCGCTTGACAAATAGCGTTTCTTTGTAACACAAGGGGCTTTTTTGGCGCATCTACTAGCAGGTTTTCTTCATGAATGTGCACAAGAAAAAATCGATAACTTCCATCAAGTTGCCAAACGTCGTATTCTATTATCCGTGAGCAGAAATTTAGCCAGGCGGCTGTCCAGCCGTCTTATGGATGCCTCCTTTGGATTAGACAGTCACTTGGCCATGGACGGCCTAGGAAAATGTTTTCTTTAAAACAGCAAACTCGCAAGTTTTGTGATGTTTCATACCTAAAAGGTTATTTAGTGCATGCATACGTTTCGATATTTATCGAATTGATGCTAAATTATGAGCATATGACAATTGATTTTAAGCGCTATGGTTTTTTAACACGTCCACGAAAATAGGTTTCCACACCCACGGTATTATTTGGACACCAAATTTTGACACTCTAGCTTAAATATTGTCTATGAATAAAGTGAGTTGTCGGGTTCAATCTGCATGATAATATTCCCATTTATTTATACATTTATATGTTGATTTAGATGAAGAGTTGAAGTTTTTGATGCTCAAAAGACGTTGTGTGTCCATCTATGGCGGTTATAAAGTAAATCACAAGGCTGCACATAATCACTTTCAAAGATATTCTGATGTTAAAGCCAAAGGTAGGACATCTAAATTAACGCTTTTCGAGTGAAACCTGGTAGAAAGAAAAGTTAGTAACGGAAATTTAGGCTGGATTTCAAAAACGGTAGCTACTGTGTAGACGTCCGACCCTTTCATCAAATTAGGGAGTTTGAACAAGAGAACGAATTACGACCACTTCATGATTACGACGAAGACGTACAATCTGTGCATTATCTTGCGCATATTAAGTTTGGGATCAGCGGTGTCAACGAAAACAGGTTATAGATTCATGTCTCGCTGTTTATGAATGCTGATCCTAATCCTTACTCTGATCCAGACAATTTAAAACAGCGAGACATGAATCCATATCCCATCTTGGTTCTTCTACCTTCGTTCAGAACGAATATTTTGGCAAAATTCGTCGTGAACTTCATTCTGAACGAAGGCAGAAGAACAAAGACATAGTTTGTCCTGACATAGTTTCATGTCTCGCTGTTTTGCTTGGATCAGGGTAAGGATTACGATCAGTATTAAGAAACAGCGAGACATGAATCTGTAACGGAGAGATATTATATATGCCCGACATATAAAAATTGCTATTTAAGGTTCGGGCCTTCTTTTCAGGTTAAGAATGATGTAATATGGTTTAAAAAGTATGAGTATTTATCATACTATTACACTTGAAATAACTGTAGAGAGGCTGGCAATATTTTTGAATGCAACATATGCTCGCTTTTGCAAATGCGAAAATCATAAACACCATCAAATCAAATGCGAAAATTATAAACACCATCACTTTATAACCAATCAAAATAATTTTAACCTTGACTGATTAGGCCTAAACCTTATGTAAACCTTATATCTGGCCAGTATCCTGGATAGTAAAATGCTCTATCCGGTGCACCCCTGAAAATAAGGGTAAGAGTTACTACCTACACATTCTCAGATCTACCATGCCATATCTACTGTAACAGGGAGATATGAAGAGCTGATTATGCCAAAGATGTAGAAATATGAACTATCCACAGACTTGATCACATAAGTATATTATTATGGTGATAATTTAGTTATTCGAAGCATGACAAGCTGTTTATCGTGCGTTGTTGTAGCGGAGCCAGGGTGTAGGAAACTGACGTGGGAAGAAAAATGTCATAAATAAGTGCCTTCGATTTTGATGTGAAAATGCTGAAAATCTTTATTACACTGGAGTCATATATACTCGTTTACACAATTTTCTTTTTCGATTTTTCAGACGAGAAGAAACCTTCGTTGCAAGAGATTGCGAGTGAACGAAGCATCGCCCAAAGAGCTACAGGATGGAAGATACACCATGTAGCAGCTCAGTTAGATGAACTGGTAAGACAACTGACTGTAGTGTTTTCATACAGAGTATATGAAATATCTTACAGGAAAACTACGTCAAGCGTTCCTATTTTGAGTTCCTTACTTGAAAACTCCCTTGGAAATCCCTTGAGCGAATTTTAAATTTTCCTCAATTCCTGTTAGAAGTTCTTAACTTCCTGTTACAAGTTCTTTACTTCCTGTTCTGTTCTATGCATTGTAATTGGCTAACAAATCCACCAATGGCAACGCTCAGAAGAGAACAGGAAGTCAGGAAATCAAAACAAGAAGTTAGGAAAATTTGAAAGGAAGTTTCTCTGCATTGGAATACCGCAACAGCCGATAACATTGGAAGTTCCCTCAAAGGATTTGCAAGGGAGTTTTTCAAATTTGCAAAGGTAATGAGGAAAATTGCAATTAAGTTAGGAGTTCAAAAGAGGAACGCTTGACGTAGTTTTCCTGTAATTTGATATTGCCATTGCAATTCTTTGTTCGTTTGACCTTGGATAGCCAGCATCCTCATTGCATTCCATCGTTCCGCAAAAGGTTTGCCTTTAGAAAACAATTATAACCTTTAGAAAACCCGCCAAAACATACCAAATGACCAAACTGTTATGTCACAAATAAGCAAAGTGTGAATAGTTACTTCACAAAAGAAACAGTAGAAATATGAACAATTGGCCGCGTTGGACTCTCATATATCCGCCATGAAGTTGCCCTGAGCTGCAGCTGTCTTAGGAATTTTTTTACGCCAAAAACTGTGTGGCTGTTCGGCATTTCTAAAGGTTTGGCGAAAGGTGTCAGAATGCAATCAGGCCCAACATCAATAGTTCAAGTTGGCATGTAACTTAGCTTACTACGCAGTGCTCTTGTCAATGATTCTCCAAGTATAAGAGAATGGACTGTTATATTGTATTGTAATTTACCTTTAGAAAAGCTGTGAGGAAGAAGTCTTGTTGAAAATGCATGAATTTCGAGAGCGCTTGCCAAAGTATAAACCAGATCATAAGAGATATGATGAGTTGGTCATGCTTCATGAACTACTTCAGGTACGCATGCCCAGTCATTAAAGTAATCTGTTTTTTTCCTCATATTATTCAGTACTCTATAGCGGCATGGGATAATAATCCTTACTTGCAGCTGAAAGCGAAGCCGAATTAAAAAAGACGCAGCTCAAACCTGAACGAGTTGAAGGTTTTCTAAGAGCGCCTCTGGCAGCCACCTTATGACTCCTGTCTGATGACGGAGCAAGGGTCAGTTTGGGACTTGTCCCAACCCACCCTGTCAACAATCCCTTTGGGAGTACCCAAAAAAAACCCCACGATTTTCTGTAGAGCGTTTCGCAGCGGGATTGAAGTCAGGTGAAAAACGCTTGCTCTAACAATTGCGCCAATCAATCGATATTTAACCATTTATGCATGATTACGATACATGTGATTGGTTGCATGTAAAGATATCCAGTTTAAGAGAATGTAATACTATATAGTACAAGGGGACGTGCATATTCGTAATAATTTTAAAATCTTTTTTAGAACATTGTTTTTGTAGATTATCCTAACTATATCTATTTGCGATTAATCATGAATTATTTCGCAGATTGGGGTATGCTCATGCATAATATTTCTGTATTATAGGGGAACATACAGAGAAGTCAACTTGTGATTGAACAACTTGGTGAAACGAAAAAAACTACGGTAAAGGTACGATTCCTTGTTTTGGAAAGTTAATGACAGACTGATAGTTGACTAGGGGAATCCCAACTCTCATACCAACTATCATCAACTTTGAGCTGGTCGCTACCTCTTTGCGAGACGAAAGATACGAGAGGCGAGAAGGAAGAGCCACTGGTCATATCCCACTTCCACACTTGATAGGTTCAGAATTTGAATCTCGCATGTGATTGGCCATTTGTAAAAATATGTCAAACCGGTTTGGGAAATAAACATTACTGCAAGCTAATTATAGCTATGTGGAAGTGGGATTTGCAATCGAAGGGACGAGAGGCTCTTCCTTCTCGCCTCTCGTTTCTTTCGCCTCGCAAAGAGCCTCTGGAACCAGGGTAGCTGGTCGCTTGCTCTAACAACTGCACCACCGAAGCCATGTCTAAACTTCATTAAATATTATGATCGTGGTTGCATGTTTCACCTCAGCTATGGCAGCTATGAACTTTCCCTATACACCCTTTCGATAATTACGTCACACATACTTTTTGGTCCTGGATCCTCGCTCTCATCAGTAAATTACGCAAGGTGATTGGCTCACGATGCACGAGAGCGAGGCTCCCAGGTCAACTGACGTAATTATCGAAAGGGTGTATTGGACGCTTACTTCATCATACTTTGAAATACAATGAGCTCAATCACCGTGGCTGTACACAAATTAACCATCATATCTTGATAAACTATGGTCCAAGGCTACATATATTTTGAGTTTATGCATTATTGTGACATATTGTTTCGTGTGTTTTCTGTAGATCCTCGACCACCAGCAAGGTATAATGGATATCTTAAAGAAAAACATTAAACGGCACGTAAAGAAAAAGAGCTAGAACACTTTTTACCATGTTGTCTTGTTATTGTACATAGCTGACTCACCCATGTTCAACCGTCCACAAAATTTAACAAGCCATTGATCTTCATACTATGTGGATATCTGATCTTGAGCAAATATTCTGGAATACTTACCTGTTATAACTCGATTTCTCCTTGCACTACCGTAGACCAACCTGCCGAATACTGTAACGTGTTAAAAGATGTTCCTGTTCAGGGCTCGAAGTAGAGAAAAAATATGGCCTGCCAGTCTACCATTTTTTTGGCAGGTGAAATAAATTTTTATTCATTGAACTGCCAAAATAGCGATGTCTCATATGAGTCATATTGTAAAAATCAATGTTTTCATGATATGCATTTTTATTGTTTTTAAACTTGTCTATATTACTACAGTAAACTTGGATTTACATTTCAAATATAAACGTATTTAGTCAACTAAATGATCTAGTACAGTATATATGAGTTTTGGTAAGCAAATGAAGTGAAATATATCTATGTAGAATTTCACCTGCCATTTGTTTTTACTTTGCCTGACATTTCTAAAATATGACCCGTTATTTCGAGCCCTGTTCCTGTTACTTAGGAAGATTTCGTATCGCCCAAGAATTTTGTCCTGACTTTGATGAAAACAATATTTTACATCTATTAAAAAAGCTATAATTGCTTGGTTTGAATCAAACTATAGGACTATCCATCCACGTATTATGAACATCATTGGATATTTTTATCGAATGTAATCCGTATTATACTTTATAATATAAAATTATCTGTACATAATTTCCGACTTATACATAACTCTAATATTGTGTGTCCATGTATTTTGACCATGAAATTATTGCCTATAATTAAAGAACGTTGGAAATAGAAATTGTCTCTGGTGCCCAGTGGACAACGGAAAACTCGTATTCCCCCTGATGACAACCTCGTACTGAGACCTGATGACAGCTTGTAATCGAGCCAAGCAAAAACTGCGAAGTTACCATATCTTTGGTCAAGTCTTGATTATAGATGTTTCCATTCAAAATGTTTGGTTCTCCAAAGGCAGTCTGCTTACACCCTACTGCAAGGCAGACAATCGATTCCTGAAACCGTATACAACTTCCGCAGTATTGGATTTTGCAAAAAGAAAAGCATACAGTCTGGATTACGGTTTTAGGGTCGATTAAAGCCCGTTCTCCACTAGGCGAATTTATTCGCGCGAACAGATAAAAAGTAGGAAGCGATCCTACTTTTTCGCCGCGAATTTTTTCGCCGACCAATCACGTTGCCGGATTTCGGTTTTCGCTTCGCGTCGCGCGAACAAATTCGCGTAGTGGAGAACGGGCTTAATTCGCATGTCGATTTTGAAAACTGAGCATTACAAATACAGTTTTGCTTATTTTCTGCAATAGACCTTATGCATAATGATGTCACAAGGCTTGATGCCCACGAGGAATGCTGGTCTTAGTAGTCATCGCCCGGGAAAATTGAACAATTCAAAATGGCCACTATCGAAATTTACCCAGGCGATGACTACTAAGACCAGCATTCCTCGCGGGCATCAAGCCTTGTTACGTCATTATGCATCAGGTCTATTGTTTGACTTTTAAAAACGGACATTTTCAGTGAATTAATTTTGTGCATGTCCTACAAAGCTGTTTGGAATAAGTTGTATTTTCAACAGTTTAACGGCACTTTTTACCGATTTCCAACGCCTTCTGTTCAGCCCTTGAAAGTTCTTAGAAAGTCCCTGAATGTTACTCTTCCTGACCTATATACGAACCATGATTGGAAGCAAACCTAATTCCAACTTCAATCGACTGCACGGAATCGAATTCACTGCTGGTAGTGGAGGTGCCAGGGCCTCGTTGCACACGTCTTGTTCAGCGACGTCGCTATAGGGGGGGGGGGGGGGGGGGGGGG